TCGTTATAGTGTAATGAACGCCCAGGTCGCTCTATATCAAATAATAAGTTGTCGGAGCAATCCATAAATCCGTAAATGTTAACTTTTTTAACATTGTAATGCCTACTTAGTGGAATTTCAGATCCATAACTAAAATTCAGATGTACTTAGGATGGTGGCATTTTTCTTTTAATGAATTCAAGCATGGCTGGACGAAGTGACCGAACAGATGTAGCGAGGTAAACGTAGTTCGTCGAGTATCGACGGTCAAATGGTCAAAAGAGTCGACCTTGAATTTAAATATCTGATTCAGTGCATGACCAAAGTCATTATTTTTGAATGCATATTTCTTCGAAATAGCGAAATTAGATTTTTTTAGATCGACGAGCCCCTCATATTTTTAAAAACGCGACGGAACGAGACTATCGATATATGTACAACGTTTAGATTTTTAATAATTGATACGTCGATCTTCCTCGTAAATAGGCTTAATATTTATATAGTACAAGACATAAAGGAATCGAAATTCCAAAATTTCGAAAATGTTCGTTGAATAAAATCATTGCGAGGCGAGAGGTGAGCTACTTACAACGAGTAGGAAAAGTGCCTGCGGAGACACTTGAAGGTGTCATAAATTAGGCGACGTTGCAACAGGGCTACTGTACCCTACCTTCGGTTAAATGTCCATGGCACTACTCGTCCCTTATCACTTATAATGGCCAGTGGAGATCTCACAAATAGGTAAAGAGAGAGAAAAAGTACAATGTGATCAATAAAGACAGACAGATATGAAAGAAGTACTTACATACCGCGCGTGAAGAAAGTGATCATACTATAATGCAAATTTGTCATAAAAACGGGAAAGTAATTATTTCTCAATTTGATTTGAAAAAAGAACTGAATTTATTCACCACCAATTTTATCAACCATCAATTTTAATGCACCACCGAGGAGAGATCCTTAAGGAGTGGCAACGTCTGTGTTAACGCGCGGCCCCAAAAAGGGCCAAGGTCAGAGTGACCAGGTTGAGGATGGGAACCAACAAGAATCACCCCGTCTTAAACCAGGTCACTTTCACCTCAGTCTGCAAATATATTCGCGCTGGTAGCCAAAATTAATTTCTGTACGTGGTCAGAGACACAAGTGTTCGTTGGCATTTAATAATATTCGAAGCGAAATACTTTTTAAGAATCTATACAATTAATTAATTTTTCTGTTTTAAACTACGACCGAAAATTTGAAAGTGTGTAAAGCGTTTACACAATTGTCTTGTCATGTAAATTTCTCTAATCTTAAGTAGTGTACTTAAGTAGTATTCACCCGAGTGTTTGTGAATTTTGCGTGAACTGTAAAGAATATAAAGAAAATTAAAGAAATGATCACCACGATTTTATTGGTAGTACTTCTTGCGATCTGTTTGCAATACTACCTGTTGCATTTCGGAAAATATGGAAGGATAATTAACTCGATACCTGGCCCACCGGCTGTGCCCATTTTTGGAAACCTTCTACATTTTCACGTTTCACCACGTAAGATACATTTGCATTAACGAATACGAGTTAAAAATTATTTAAGTCGCATCTCGCAGCTATTTCAATTTGTTCGGACCATTGCAGCTGAGATGTGGGAACGATTAAGGAAACTGAACAAGCAATATTATCCGATATTCAAACTCTGGACTGTTTGGGAAGCTTATGTAAATATCCGCCATCCGGACGATATCGAGGTAGGAAAAATCCAATTGTACAAAAATATTGTACCGGTATTATTAATACATGTATCAGTAAAATCGTTAATCTCTCAATGGCTAGTTGCAAACTGTATTCCTTGAATCATTTCATTGTTTTCATCACACAGAGAGTCATAGGAAAACCTAAATTCACTCAAAAGAGTAATATGTATGACCTAACGGTACCATGGTTCAACACCGGAATTTTTACCAGTACAGGTAATTCCCCTTAGAAAATAATTAAAACTATACAAAATCACTCATGTCTAACAAGCGAAACTATAATTCGCAGCGGCTACTGAGACACATACTTTTCATTCGCATTATGACAATGATGTAATAATTGCAAATTTGTTTTGTCTTCACAACTATTCAAATATTTCAATACATTCGCAAGATACGGTGATTAGATTCTAGACAATGACCTTTTTGTTAATTATGTACTGTGAAGTATATTTAGTTTTTTTTGTTACGCGAAAACAAACAAGTACGGGATATGCTAAATAAAAATGCAATAAAAGAGGCGCGGTATCGTTCGATTCACTTACAGGTCGCAAGTGGAAAACACGCAGGAAATTACTAACACCTGCTTTTCATTTCAATATGCTCCGGGAATTTTCCGAAGTTTTCATCCAGGAAGGGGAACGGTTGATCAAGAAACTAAAGAGCGAAGGAGGGCCTGTTGTTAAAGATCTGAAGATCTTGATGAGCGAGTACACTTTAAATATTATTTGTGGTAAATCACAATTAAGTCGAATTCCTAATTGTTGGTCACTTGAATTTCTTGATTGTATGTGAGAGAAAATACTTGAAGAATGTAGTAAAAATGCTTGATTCTTCCTTTAGAAACTGCAATGGGAACGTCCCTTGCTGATAAAGGAAAATTTCAATTCAAATATCTCAAAGCCGTGCACGATGTGGTGGAAACTATGGTGTATAGGTAAAGGATTTGAATGCGCTCTCATTTCTATCATATAGTACGCAAACGATATTCGTATATCTTTCTTTATAGATTACTAAGACCATGGTTGTACATCGACTTTGTCTTCTTCCTTACTCCTGTAGGGATGCTACAGTCTAGACTACTAAAAATATTACATGGCTTTACGAAACAGGTAGCGGTGATAATGATTTTTATTACGAATACTTAAAGCATCAGTGTTGCAATCTGTGATATGTTACAGATCATTAAAGAACGGAAGGAATACCACGATAAGACCAATCATCGCTATTTGGCTGATTTGGACGGCAATGCTAACAAAGAAACTGATGATGTGACATGCGGCAGTACGTTATGCAAACGATTAATCGTACTTAATTGATGCTACTTATGGTTTAAGTGTTTATTTGTTTACAGTTCGCAGAAAGAGGCTTGTCTTTCTCGATTTACTCTTATCGGCTCATCGACACAATCTAATAGACGACGAAGGCATTAGAGAAGAAGTCGACACGTTTCTGTTTGGGGTGCGTTTGCGTCTTGGAAATAAAATTAACTTTATCGATATACACTTCGTATCTAATGCTTTGCAATTTTCAACAGGGACACGATACAACGGCAGTAGCCCTTTGTTATACTATAATGCTTTTGGCTGAACACCCACAGATTCAGGTAACTTCTCGAAAGAAGAATAAAAAAAGAAACGTGTAATACATTTTACGACCGTTCGTTCTCAGGATCGAGCCAGGACTGAAGTGAAAAAGATAATGGAAGCGAGCAACGGAAAGCTAGCTATGTCCGACCTTCAAAAATTACCGTATCTCGAAATGTGCATCAAGGAGTCGCTAAGACTTTATCCAGTCGCGCCTTTCTTGTCTCGTTCTCTAGAAGAGGCCGTAACGTTAAGTATGCGTCGAAATCAATTCTACAGTTTCTTACTTTTGGTTTATTAAATAACCGAGAAGCTTGTGCTGTTTTTTAGGTAATTATCTAATACCTGCCCACACCATAGTGAACGTGCACCTATACGATACTCACAGAGATCCGAAGTTTTGGCCCAATCCGGACGTCTTCGACCCGGAACGGTTCACACCTGAGAATTCTCATGGACGACACCCGTACTCGTATATACCTTTCAGCGCCGGTCCAAGGAATTGTATCGGTAAGGAAACGGAATGAGAACAACATTGAGGAGCGTAGTTACAAATGTTGAATTTCTACAGGGCAAAAATTCGCCATGCTGGAACTGAAAGCAACCCTGGCGTATCTCTTGTTTAATTTCGCTTTCGAGCCTGTAGACTATCTTAAAGACGTCACTTTTGTACTAGATCTTGTCATACAATCGACACATGCTCTTCGAACTAAGTTCGTTCCGCTCTAATTTGTCGGTTGATAAACGTCAAGACATGATCACTAGTTGGTATAGAATGCGCATTTGGTTGACTCGTTTTATTTGTACGGAACACGATAGAAGGGGCGAGTAAGTTGACGATCACTTTTAATAGATGAAGTCTAGTTTACTCCTCACGCCTTACCATTGCGAAGTAAGGACCTTTCGAGACGTTTTTGTTTTTTTGCGCGGAGTTAGAAGCGTGCAAAGGGGCGTGATGTGTGGCGCAGCGCAAACGTGCGATGTATTTGCCAATTCACATTATCTTTTCATTTACGTACTTCTACAGTTTATAAGCATACTCATTCAAAAATAATATTAATAAATTTAAAGTTAATCTAGTATTAAGTTAGATTCATTCCCTAACCACTCCTATAATAGATGAAACACGAAAACAATGTACAGATACAGAATTTACATTCTCAGCCGACGGAAGTCTGCTAGATAAAATGTTAATCGTTTTGTAAAAAATGAATTAAAAATGAAAACTAAAATAAAGAATTTTTGTTTCGCTAATTAAAACTATGAAACATGTATGTGTAAATAGGCTTGTAAGTTATATGCGCAACCAAGTTCTCTAATTGAGCAAAACTTATGTATGTCTTTTATTTTTTAAGATATCACTATTCCAAGCCACTTGCATCTTCTAATTCCTTTCTCCCTTTCTTTCTACATCATTGATGTAGACATCGACTCTGCTGATTATGTTGAATAAATTTTGTCAATTTCTAATAAAATGTGATTCCTTTTTTCTTCTAATAGTATTCTGTTGCGGTATTATTGGTGTCTTGAAGCTACTGCCTTCATATGAAAATGCTTGAGACGTGCTTTTCTTTTATATCATGTCATTACAGGAACTTCGAGATATAACACTAGATTCCGCGGATGCGTTTTCCGGAGCTTCTTCGCCTATGTTAACGTTCTCGGGAATCCTGTACCAGTGCGAAACTATTTCTATTCGATTTAGAGTGTGAAACATCGATTTGTAGCAACATTATGTATCACGTTTCATTTTTCATTCATGAAATTATCAACCGAGTCTAAGCAAGAGGAACGGTCACGCTACGCATTTGATCGAGCCAAGTTTTGTGAGACTTGGATTGTGCCTCGCAACTAATTAAAATATTATAATCATTGACATAGCCACTGACCTGCTACTTCGAATTGCGTATTTACACTCTTGTGTATGTGTGATAACAATATTTAAATACTTGCAGAGCTCTGAAATTCTCCTCAATGCGCAAATATATTCGCGCTGGCAACCAAAATTAACTTCTGTACGCGGATAGGGACACAAGTGTCCGTTGACAGTTAATAATATTCGAAGCGGTGCTCTTTTTAAGAATCTATTCAATTAATTAATTTTTCTGTTTTAACATATAAAGCATCAGTGTTGCAATCTGTGATATGTTACAGATCATTAAAGAACGTAAGGAATACCACGATAAGACCAACCATCGCTATTTGGCTGATTTGGACGGCAATGCTAACAAAGAAACTGATGATGTGACATGCGGCAGTACGTTATGCAAACGATTAATCGTACTTAATTGATGCTACTTATGATTTAAGTGTTTATTTGTTTACAGTTCGCAGAAAGAGGCTTGTCTTTCTCGATTTACTCTTATCGGCTCATCGACACAATCTAATAGACGACGAAGGCATTAGAGAAGAAGTCGACACGTTTCTGTTTGGGGTGCGTTTGCGTCTTGGAAATAAAATTAACTTTATCGATATACACTTCGTATCTAATGCTTTGCAATTTTCAACAGGGACACGATACAACGGCAGTAGCCCTTTGTTATACTATAATGCTTTTGGCTGAACACCCACAGATTCAGGTAACTTCTCGAAAGAAGAATAAAAAAAGAAACGTGTAATACATTTTACGACCGTTCGTTCTCAGGATCGAGCCAGGACTGAAGTGAAAAAGATAATGGAAGCGAGCAACGGAAAGCTAGCTATGTCCGACCTTCAAAAATTACCGTATCTCGAAATGTGCATCAAGGAGTCGCTAAGACTTTATCCAGTCGCGCCTTTCTTGTCTCGTTCTCTAGAAGAGGCCGTAACGTTAAGTATGCGTCGAAATCAATTCTACAGTTTCTTACTTTTGGTTTATTAAATAACCGAGAAGCTTGTACTGTTTTTTAGGTAATTATCTAATACCTGCCCACACCATAGTGAACGTGCACCTATACGATACTCACAGAGATCCGAAGTTTTGGCCCAATCCGGACGTCTTCGACCCGGAACGGTTCACACCTGAGAATTCTCATGGACGACACCCGTACTCGTATATACCTTTCAGCGCCGGTCCAAGGAATTGTATCGGTAAGGAAACGGAATGAGAACAACATTGAGGAGCGTAGTTACAAATGTTGAATTTCTACAGGGCAAAAATTCGCCATGCTGGAACTGAAAGCAACCCTGGCGTATCTCTTGTTTAATTTCGCTTTCGAGCCTGTAGACTATCTTAAAGACGTCACTTTTGTACTAGATCTTGTCATACAATCGACACATGCTCTTCGAACTAAGTTCGTTCCGCTCTAATTTGTCGGTTGATAAACGTCAAGACATGATCACTAGTTGGTATAGAATGCGCATTTGGTTGACTCGTTTTATTTGTACGGAACACGATAGAAGGGGCGAGTAAGTTGACGATCACTTTTAATAGATGAAGTCTAGTTTACTCCTCACGCCTTACCATTGCGAAGTAAGGACCTTTCGAGACGTTTTTGTTTTTTTGCGCGGAGTTAGAAGCGTGCAAAGGGGCGTGATGTGTGGCGCAGCGCAAACGTGCGATGTATTTGCCAATTCACATTATCTTTTCATTTACGTACTTCTACAGTTTATAAGCATACTCATTCAAAAATAATATTAATAAATTTAAAGTTAATCTAGTATTAAGTTAGATTCATTCCCTAACCACTCCTATAATAGATGAAACACGAAAACAATGTACAGATACAGAATTTACATTCTCAGCCGACGGAAGTCTGCTAGATAAAATGTTAATCGTTTTGTAAAAAATGAATTAAAAATGAAAACTAAAATAAAGAATTTTTGTTTCGCTAATTAAAACTATGAAACATGTATGTGTAAATAGGCTTGTAAGTTATATGCGCAACCAAGTTCTCTAATTGAGCAAAACTTATGTATGTCTTTTATTTTTTAAGATATCACTATTCCAAGCCACTTGCATCTTCTAATTCCTTTCTCCCTTTCTTTCTACATCATTGATGTAGACATCGACTCTGCTGATTATGTTGAATAAATTTTGTCAATTTCTAATAAAATGTGATTCCTTTTTTCTTCTAATAGTATTCTGTTGCGGTATTATTGGTGTCTTGAAGCTACTGCCTTCATATGAAAATGCTTGAGACGTGCTTTTCTTTTATATCATGTCATTACAGGAACTTCGAGATATAACACTAGATTCCGCGGATGCGTTTTCCGGAGCTTCTTCGCCTATGTTAACGTTCTCGGGAATCCTGTACCAGTGCGAAACTATTTCTATTCGATTTAGAGTGTGAAACATCGATTTGTAGCAACATTATGTATCACGTTTCATTTTTCATTCATGAAATTATCAACCGAGTCTAAGCAAGAGGAACGGTCACGCTACGCATTTGATCGAGCCAAGTTTTGTGAGACTTGGATTGTGCCTCGCAACTAATTAAAATATTATAATCATTGACATAGCCACTGACCTGCTACTTCGAATTGCGTATTTACACTCTTGTGTATGTGTGATAACAATATTTAAATACTTGCAGAGCTCTGAAATTCTCCTCAATGCGCAAATATATTCGCGCTGGCAACCAAAATTAACTTCTGTACGCGGATAGGGACACAAGTGTCCGTTGACAGTTAATAATATTCGAAGCGGTGCTCTTTTTAAGAATCTATTCAATTAATTAATTTTTCTGTTTTAACATACGACCGAAAATTTGAAAGTGTGTGAAGCGCTTAAAAAATTATCTTATTATATAAATTTCTCTAATCTTAAGTAGTGTACTTAAGTAGTATTCACCCGAGTGTTTGTGAACTCTGCGTGAACTGTAAAGAATATAAAGGAAATTAAAGAAATGATCACCACGATTTTATTGATAGTACTTCTTGCAATATGTTTGCAATACTGCCTATTGCATTTCGGAAAATATGGGAGGATAATTAACTTGATACCTGGCCCACCGGCTGTGCCCATTTTTGGAAACCTTCTACATTTTCACGTTTCACCACGTAAGATACATTTGCATTAACGAATACGAGTTAAAAATTATTTAAGTCGCATCTCGCAACTATTTCAATTTGTTCGGACCATTGCAGCTGAGATGTGGGAACGATTAAGGAAATTGAACAAGCAATATTATCCGATATTCAAACTCTGGAATGTTTGGGAAGCTTATGTAAATATCCGCCATCCGGACGATATCGAGGTAGGAAAAATTCAATTGTACAAAAATATTGTACCGGCATTATTAATACATGTATCAGTAAAATCCTTAATCTCTCAATGGCTAGTTGCAAACTGTATTCCTTTAATCATTTCATTGTTTTCATCACACAGAGAGTCATAGGACAACCTAAATTCATTCAGAAGAGTAATATATATGACTTAACGGTACCATGGTTCAACACCGGAATTTTTACCAGTTCAGGTAATTCCCCTTAGAAAATAATTAAAACTATACAAAATCACTGATGTCTAACAAGCGAAACTATAATTCGCAGCGGCTACTGAGACACATATTTTTTATTCGCAGTATGACAATGATGTAATAATTGCGAATTTGTTTTGTCTTCACAACTATTCAAATATTTCAATACATTCGCAAGATACGGTGATTAGATTCTAGACAATGACCTTTTTGTTAATTATGTACTGTGAAGTATATTTAGTTTTTTTTGTTACGCGAAAACAAACAAGTACGGGATATGCTAAATAAAAATGCAATAAAAGAGGCGCGGTATCGTTCGATTCACTTACAGGTCGCAAGTGGAAAACACGCAGGAAATTACTAACACCTGCTTTTCATTTCAATATGCTCCGGGAATTTTCCGAAGTTTTCATCCAGGAAGGGGAACGGTTGATCAAGAAACTAAAGAGCGAAGGAGGGCCTGTTGTTAAAGATCTGAAGATCTTGATGAGCGAGTACACTTTAAATATTATTTGTGGTAAATCACAATTAAGTCGAATGCCTAATTGTTGGTCACTTGAATTTCTTGATTGTATGTGAGAGAAAATACTTGAAGAATGTAGTAAAAATGCTTGATTCTTCCTTTAGAAACTGCAATGGGAACGTCCCTTGCTGATAAAGGAAAATTTCAATTCAAATATCTCAAAGCCGTGCACGATGTGGTGGAAACTATGGTGTATAGGTAAAGGATTTGAATGCGCTCTCATTTCTATCATATAGTACGCAAACGATATTCGTATATCTTTCTTTATAGATTACTAAGACCATGGTTGTACATCGACTTTGTCTTCTTCCTTACTCCTGTAGGGATGCTACAGTCTAGACTACTAAAAATATTACATGGCTTTACGATCATGGACGACACCCGTACTCGTATATACCTTTTAGCGCCGGTTCAAGGAATTGTATGGGTAAGGAAACGGAATGAGAACAACATTGAGGAGCGTAGCTACAAATGTTGAATTTCTACAGGGCAAAAATTCGCCATGCTGGAACTGAAAGCAACCCTGGCGTATCTCTTGTTTAATTTCGCTTTCGAGCCTGTAGACTACCTTAAAGACGTCACATTTGTACTAGATCTTGTCATACAATCGACACATGCTCTTCGAACTAAGTTCGTTCCGCTCTAATTCGTTGGTTGATAAACGTCAAGACATGATCACTAGTTGGTATAGGATGCGCATTTGGTTGACTCGTTTTATTTGTACGGAACACGATAGAAGGGGTGACGTAAGTTGACGATCACTTTTAATAGATAAAATACGAAAACAATGTACAGATATAGAATTTACATTCTCAGCCGACGGAAGTCTGCTAAATAAAATGTTAATCGTTTTGTAAAAAATGAATTAAAAATAAAGACGATATACACTTAACGAGTGGCTTATCGATTGTTTTCTCACTTTCGTCATCATCATCGCCTCCTTCCTCTCCTTTATCTAGTCGCTTATCGGTTAGTCGTTTACATATTTTACGATAATTGAAACGACTTTTCGTGAATTGTGCAAATGTTGCTGGAACATGTACGAGCTTCGACTACGTAAATGCATCGATTTAAATTTCGAAATATCGATTTGTTGCAACATTATGTATCACGTTTTGTTTTACATCTATAAAATCGTCGATCGAGTCTAACAATAAGCAAGAGGAACGGTCACGCCCAGCGTCATCGGATTGAGCGAGTTTTCTCTCTTCTCCTCTTCGCATGCTGACCAGGGATCGTATAATTTTCCCCTCGACCGGAAAGTGGGGACGACGCGACCATGGTGGGGACTGGTACTTGATGGGGGTATGCTATGAGAGCTTCGCAAAGGCGAATGAGGAGAATAGTAATGGGGATCGAAATACGGGCGAAAAAGAGGGGAAGCGGAAAAATTATACGATCCCTGATGC